CCATAGCTGGTCTGTGCTTCCTGCCCCCAGATGTTCAACAGATGTGTGGGGATGGACTGTCTAGGGGAGGCGTTGGAAGGCCAGAAGACAGAGCGTGTCTCTCAAAGTTTGGGTGGATCTCTGGAGAATGTGTCTGCTGCAGGTGATGAGGAAAATTCACACCTCCCATAATCAAAAGGAGTTTATGATACAGCTTCTAAAGTTAAAAACTCAACAATAAACACCTTTGATATTTAGGCCTTTAAGGTCACACTCTCTTTGTTCTTTGGAACAAACACTGTAACTCCTTTTCTTTTAATATACATTTTTAGATAGATAGATAGATAGATAGATAGATAGATAGATAAAAAGATACTGGCTCTCTTTCCAGGTGTATGTTTTATTTTGTTTACTGTGTAAGATGGTTAATTGGGCTTCACCCAAAGAGTTGGACAGAACAAAAGCAGCCTTTGGACGGCACCTGCACCATCAGCTGTCCTGGCTCTCCAGGCTGCCCGGCACACACTGCCCATTTGGACCTGCCAGTCTCCATAACTACACGAGCCACTTCCTTATGCTAAATCTGTTTCTCCGAAGAACGCTGACTAATACTCTTTGACTTGTCCTATTTTCAAACATATACTTGAATCACTTCTCAGATATATACTATAAGTTCGTTTGCTTATGTATACAAGGACTTCCCTTTGGGAGGCTGCATGGTCAGCAGTCACCATCCCCTATAGGTACATTTAAAAGACACCCTACTAAACTGAGGCATTAAGGCCTGAGACAAAGGGCCCGCCCTTAGCTCCAGTGGGAGAGGGTCATTTCACCTCCTGCTGCATGTAGATTCCCTAATAAACAACACGAGGCATACGTTAAAAACCTTTAGGTCTGTAATTATACCTCCACAAGAGACAAGGGTTTCTGAGGGTAACTGTGTCCATGTCCATAAAAAGGGCTTGTGTGTCTGTGGGCCCAGGGTAGGGGGGATCTTATCTTAGGGAGGGAGTGTCTGATGGAGGAGGCACGCATCCATGGGAGGCTGTGCAGGGCTCCACCTGTCTGAGCAGGTGTGGCCACCATCCACAGTAAGTGTGCCGGGGTGGGGACCAGCTGTTAGGTATATGTTGGGGGAGGGGGAAGGTGGTCTGTATACAGAAGGCTGAGAGTGAGGTTGTGACTGGCAAAGCTGACAATGTGTCAGGGATTTATACTTTCTAGGTTTGTCACTACTCATGAAACAATCTCAAACTCACATTAAAGAAAAGGAGATCAGAGCCAGAACTCAGGTTGAAGAAAATTACCTTATAGGTGATATATGTTAACAGAGGCTGTAAAACTGAATGCTTCTCAAACACACGAGGCTTTCTGCAGAGGGAGTAAAACTCTAAATATAGCACAGAAGTATAGCGACTTCTTAGACAGGGATTGAACCAGACTAACTTGATTACAGATCAAATAAGGTGTGGAGCATCAGGGGAGCATATGGGGCACTGAGAACAGATGAACTGAACTGAGAAAAAAGTACTGCATATTCCAACGAGAGAAATTAATGTTAATTTTGGGAACTAGTTGTCTTTCAACCTAGAATCCTAAGAGTAATGCCTCCTACTAATATCAAGATAACTCCTCGAATCTCTATTAAGGCTTTTAGAAATATGAAGTCCCAGAGTACTCCTAATAAATTAAAAGGAACTGCCAAAATATAGCCTTAGGAGAGAAAATTATAAGAATTTCCAAGACGTTCTTCTGACAAGGTTAGAGGAAAAGTTGCCGAGGGATCATAGGACTTGTGTTTCTCTGTGAACACGAGAAGTCCTGGAACTAAAGTCACAGAAACTGTAGAGCCAAGGATTAAATGTTCCATAATTATGCACATTAGGTACAAGCCGTGGCCATTATTTGGGGTGGGAGCAGAGAAAGGAGGAAAAGAAGAGAAGGGAAAAGGGGGAGGGGACAAGAAGCCCTACCAGCGTCGCGTGTTGGATGTAACTTTTTCAAAGCAGAAACATAGATTAGTCCCTCGGCTGGTCCTTCTAGGCTTGGGGCGGGGTGGGGGGGAGTGATACAGCACTCATTTAGTGATAGAAAAAAATGCTGATATAAACAAAAATAAGTCCCATGGTGAAGAAAAAAATAAAAGCTTTACAGCTTAATGGGAGTCATGGGCAACTATGTATTATTAGCATATACTTTCAACAGATAAAACACCCTTGGGTTGGGAAGATTCCCTTTGCATGTAAAAGTCAAGAAGGAACAAATAAATTGTTTTGAGAAAATGAATTTGAGGACAAAGGTGTGGTGAACTACTACCCAATGAGTAGATTATCAGAGTTTTGGGTTTGAAAAGCAAAAAACCAAAACCACAAAATTTAAATTGAACAAGACTAGCCTGAGCTCCTAGGAAATGGAGTAACATTTCAGGGTAGTTATCTTAGCCTAGTAAAGCACCATCCTCAAAGAAATGAGGAATCTTCTCCTGTCTCCTTGCAAGGGCTTTCATCTGCATTAGCCTGCTGCTTGGCTTTCAAGACTCAAGAGTTCTCAAATGGGAACGTTACCATGGAAAGTAACATGTCCATGACAAGCCAGCTAAGTGGGTGATATTATCCTAAGTGCTTACTGTTACAATTAGAAAGCACCGCTGATAACCATAGGAGTAACCCCTGGACAGAACCCCAACCCCCAGAACACTCAGTTCCCAGGCTTTGTGCATCAAGTCTGAGCCGTTCATATTTAGTAAAATTAGATTAATAGCAGCAGCACCTATAGCATAGATCTCAAGAATTTTTGTAATGCTTTTAGTTCTATTTCCTTAAAATATCTACTCCTTCATTTTTATTAGAAATTTACAGTATTTTCTCCAAGATTATAAAATTAAAAAGCCAAGTGAAGAATGCTATATTAAGTAGTATAAGAAAAAAAAAACAATAAGAACTTACTTCTCATAACAAGTACAAAACTTAATTTTTCCCTTTTTTATTTATTATTATTTCCTAATATTCCTGCTAGATAATATATATTTCTTGTGCAATAAAAATAAAGGCAAACATTCTCACCATGTTTAGCATTTCATCAAAAACTTCTTGAGAGATGAAGTGATAGTCAACTCGATCCCCTTCTCCAAAATAAGGCTGTCTTGTGGTGTGACAGGCCCTGGAATGACAAAATAGATCACATAGTCTATTTCTATTAACTTGAAATTCACAATGGACAAGTTTTCACATAAAGTACGTTTTTAGAAAAACAGAAGTGATTCACAAATCATAAATCATAAAGTAATATAACTGTGGAAACACTGTGGTTTTGAAGTGCCAGGTGACATCCAGTTGCTATAGTCTATAGCCTTATACAAATTGCAGATTATTGGCAACAAATCTGTACCCATTGCTATTTATCACCTTCTGAACCACCTCCTCCGCCATCGTGTAGTAATACTTACAGAAGTTTCACAATATTTTCTATTCATACATTTTCCACCTAACGGCTTCCACATTCTCTGTCATCTATTAGCATTTCTATAGGTTCCCCTCCTCTCCCTCTGCCCAACCAGCCTGGTTGTTTTTCAGGACTAGTTTAAGTGTCTCCTCTCTAGAAAGCTTTTCCTGACTTTGTATGGCTGGATAATTCACATATTTATACTCCTGGAGCCTCAGCATCTGCGCCAACTGCACCCCAATTACTCGTGCAGGGCCCTGCCTCCTCTACCTCTTGAGGGCAGAGACCTCTCAGCACCTTGCAACCTTGCACGGCTGGTCCACACTGACATTGTGGACGGACACCTTGTGGGCGTCTGTGGTTCCGGTACTGAATGGCATTCTCAACTCAACCAAATAGGCCTTTTCCAACCACTGTCTGAGATAGCACCCCCCACCCCACTACACCGCCCTCTTGCTCTCTCCCACCAGAACTGCCTTCTTTTATATACATACAGAGGGTGCCAAAATAATGTATGCACATTTTTTTTTTTTTTTTTTTTTTTTGAGACAGAGCCTCAAGCTGTCCCCCTGGGCAGAGTGCCGTGGCATTACAGCTCACAGCAACCTCCAGCTCCTGGGCTCAAGCGAGTCTCCTGCCTCCGCCTCCCAAGCAGCTGGGACCACAGGCGCCCGCCACAACGCCCGGCCATTTTTTGGTTGCAGCCGTCATTGTTGTTTGGCGGGTCCGGGCTGGGGATTTGAACCCGCCACCCTAGGTGTACGTGGCTGGCGCCCTAGCCGGTTGAGCTATAGGCGCCGAGCCAATGTATGCACATTTTAAAGAAAGGAAGAAACCAACTGTATTAAAATGGTGATCTCAATATATACTGATAATGTTTATTATCTTGTATGTTGTATCTTGTTATCTCTTATAACTGCAGACATCAAACGTGACTTGACTGTTACAACATATGACTTACATCTGGTTTTTTCCTATCTTCCCCAGCAGACCATACGAATCATGAGGGAGGACTTTGCCTTACTCCCCTTAACTCATCAAATGCCTGGCACCAGGAGGCATTCACTAAATACTATTTGTAAAAGAAATGAAAACATACGAAGTGGAAACAGCTGCTAACAGCTCCTAAAAGTGCTTCATCCAAGGTCATGGAGCAGGCCAATGTAGGGCCCAGAACTAGAACCCAGGAGTCCCAACTACCAGCACTATTAGCCTAATGATTCTGCCTTCCTTATGTGAAGTTTTGGAAATGCAAAGAAATTTTAACATTATCCTGTCGTTTGAAAGAGGAGATGAAAATAGCTAGACACTTGACATGTTATTTCATTTATTTTTCACTAAAACCGTCAGGTAGGTAATATTTCTTACTTCGATCTATCTAATTAACTAATGAAACTGAGGCACAGCAATTAAGTAACCTCACTAAGCAACAATGCCAAGATGACCCCAAAGTTGATTCTTTGTGACATCATAATATTTAAGAGAGTAAAATCGGAGGCTCAAAAGGCTCTTCATTACAGAATCAAATAAAAATAAATTTCTATAATTCATACCACTGTTCCCTCCCATCATAATGAAGAATTAACTATACTACTAAATCTTGAAGCCTTAACATTACATTTAAATCTTATACACAGGAGAGAGTACATTCTAAGAGAAGACTGTCAAAACACAGTGACATTTGTTTTGTTGTCTGAGTACACTGGCATTTCTTCACGTGCGTTGGCAGAGACTTGAGACCCTCTGACTACTGGTGTCCTTGACAGTGAGGGAAGGTAAATCAGAAGCTTGGCTCCCTGTGCTGCAAAGCCTTAGCATAGCTCTCGCACACTACACTGAATTTACATTTCCCACCAAAGGAACTGAGTGACAGGATTTTTTTCAGAATTTCTAAAAGGAAGACAAAACAAAGAAGCAATTTGAGCTCCTAGGCATATAAAAGAGGAATGGCACCACTGACGTGGAGAGCGCTGATGACAGAAGCTGCAGCCACTATGGAACTTTCTATAAGGAAGGACCTGAGATGACTTGTGGTTTTTTGAATGTGTCATCCAATTTCATACATACAAACGTTCACTGCGTAGTACGCCACCCAAATATGAACATCTTAAAAAGGAAATACAGAGTGAAAGCAACTATCCAGTAAGAAAAAATGATGCAAAATTTTAGACAAAGAAATTTGCTTGAGTTATCACTTTCAATATTCTTCCTCACCCGTATCTAAATATTTCCACAAGTTTATTATTTACTAATTTATGTACTAGTATAATTAAACCATGATTTAACTAAACTATGGTTCATAATTGGTGCCATACTCCTCATTAGTTTCACTAAACAGACAAAAGGACTGAGTTGAAGATTAACCCCAAATGGCAAAGCTGGTCCTAAAAGCCTAGAGTGAACATGACATTCTCAAGGCCAATTCATGGCCACACGTCACTGAGGCTATGATCAAACAAAGTCAGGAGAGGAGATGATCTGGAAGGAAAGGAATCTGGAAGGTGAAGCCAAATAATGGAACATTGACAGATCCAGGGAAATTCAACAGGAAGAAAAGATGTCTAAGAATAGCTAGCAGGTGGTTGAGGAAATAGAATTTTTTCAGTGTGATTCTGAAGCATGTAGATTTAGAATCTTAATTCTGAACCATATTGCCTCAGGACATAATGAACTTCTTGCTACTGCAAATATTTAGGCAGAGGCTTGGCTTGAATTCAGAACATGTCTGACTTCAAGCGTATTATAGCACGCCATCGTGTTAGTAAGTGGGCCCTTCCAACGGACATGGATGAGAACTCAGGTATTCCTAGAGAAATCTCATAGGTAAATCAAACCAGTCTGAACACTCAATGCAAATATATGTCCATAAATTGCTGGGCACAGTTTAAGTGACATGAACACAAAGGACTCCAGCACATACCATGTCTGAGTATCACACCCCATGCAGCCACTACTCTGCCCAATTTCCAGTAACTGGAAAACACCACTTTCTAACTCACGCTATTATTACCTGGCACTATAGTCTAACTGGTCTCCTTGTCTCCAGCCTTCTTTCCCTAAGCCCTTCCCCAAACAGCTGGCAACCGTTTCTAAAATGCACCTGTGATCATGCCATCCCCCTGTGTAGAAACCCTTTATGATCAGACCCCTGTCTACATTTCCAGCCCCGCCATCTTGACACTGTAGGCTTCTCCAGACTGTAATGTGCACTTTCAGTTAAGGAAATGTGCCTGTTGTCCTCCCTGCCTGGAATACAGCCCCCCACTCCAGCCCCACACCCCTTTTCCCTTTTACTTTATCTCAGAGGCGCTTTATATCCCTTATAATAGCACTATTCAAACTACTTTATTAGACAACATCTACCTGTTTGAATCCTATACTTTCCACTCACCACCAATTCTGACCAGAGGGGACAAACACCAGCAGCAGCACTAACAGTACAGCAGAATGAAGCTAATTTTAGGATTTTGTTTTGTCATCTTGTACGTCCACTCAAATTTCATATGGCCCTAATTATCCAAGGTCTGAGTTCCCCACTAGATTATAAATTTCATCAAGGCAAGGACCTCACCAGTCTTATTCCTACTGTATCCTCAGGAATTAGCACATGGAAGAAACTCAATAAATATTTATTGAAAGAATGAACAAATGAATGAGCCCATCTAACTCTCTGTATCTCCCTCAGTAAAGTTGGGGAAAATCACCTAGCTCTAATTGTAGTCATTTTTATTAAATGTTGCACATAATGCCACTAAGTCAGTCATCATTCACTCATTCCATCAGTTAATCATTTAACAGTATTTATGTCACATGTATCAAGTGCCTGGCCACATGCTGGACACTGTAAGCTCAATGGTGAAGAAGGCTGACATGCCCCTACCCTCACTGGGCTTACAGACAAATAAGGAAACAAGCCCTAAATAATCATAAGCATTCTAATAAGTGAAATACAGGACTTAATGAAAATGGGTAATGGGGGGGGGGGCAGTCAGTAAGAATGGAAAGGAAGACTGGATCAAAATCTTGATGATGAACCAAAAAACACCTCCAAGAACAGGAAGCCAAGTGTGTCTTGGCAGTAGCATATCACAAAGAAACAGGACTGGGCTACCAACATTTGTAACACAATGGATGTGAAAGAAACTAGAGAAAGCCTTGTTCCCACAGGTCACAGTTGGTTTGTTGAAGGGCTCCAAATTTACACATAAGCACAACAGTCAGCATATACCCTCCTACCCAAGTTTGACCTTCCAATCATTGTGTTCAGCTTATCTTTTAGAACAGATTCAGTACCCCCATGTGAGTATAATGTACTCTATATTTTCTTAGTCTAAAATTAACTTTTAATTTATTTTTGTAACTTCGGGGTGTTTAAAATATATTAATCAATAAATTATTCTATATTATTTTTATCCTAGAGTTGTTCAAATGAGGAAAGCAATTTTAAATATCTAAATAAATGAACCTACTTAAAATAGTGTTTATATTGTTTGAACATGCGCAGCTTAAGGGAAGGGACTTTTTTTGGTAATAGCATTAGAAAATAATTTACACTTATTTTTCTTGCTGTCCTATCTGTCTTTATAGTCGCAGCCACAGCTCTCTGACAGACACTACTAAAAGTAATTTCTTTGCCATACATAAAAAAATACAAGGAGAAACCAGTTTAAGACACCACCGTGGCAATTCTAAATCTATAAATCCAGCTGGAGGGTTTCTTTCTTTCTTTTTTTTTTTGTTGATGGTTCTAGGTTTTCAAAATACTTTCTTCTATTTTAACTGAATCATTAGGAAATCACTCAGCAAAACATTTGCTCTAAAAAAATTGACCTGTATTGCATGCTAACCTGAAGGAAAGGAAAAGAAAACTTGCTTCTCCTCCTTCCTCCCGAAATGTGCCTGAGAAGAGGAAGACCTGTTTGGGGACAAACAAGCTCAAGTGCTTCTGGAGCGCGCTCTGAGCAGAGTCAAGAAGAAGCTGTCCCCGAGCACAGCCCTGCCCACGGCACCTCACAGCACGCTGCTCATGCTGGCGTCCAGCAGGGCCACAGGAGCCTGCGTCCAAATGCCACCTACCTTCATTAACAAGATGTGTATTTTCAAACCCTGGGAAGTGATTTGGGCTGGGACTAATTATAAGGTCAGACAATTATGTTCATGAACTCATCCTAGAAAAAGTGCTACACACCGTATTGCCAAATATCACTATGGTCACCAGATGACCAAGGGGGGCACTTGGAAGGTGATTGTAGTGATATTCAGCAACGAGGGATGTAGCACTAGTTCCAGGATGAGTTTGCAAACTTAATTGTCTGAACTCGTATATCATAGTATAATAAATGGCAAAGAAGCCGATGAGCCTTTTATGGAAAAGCTATATCATGGTATCAGTGAGCCATGCTTATCTGTCCACTTGTTTTATTTGGGCAGGGGCAATGTCACTGCTGTGTGTTTACTGCCTGCTTCATAAAAGACAAACTATTGTGTTTCTTTTTGCTGTGCATTAAGTTCTTCTTGTATTACTGGGAGTAGACTTTAGCAATCATCTCTACCACATTGATTAGAATGGCATGAGAATCAAGATTCCTACTCATTCCAAGACCAGGTAATCACATTGATCTGATGTTACCTATTATTTACTTTCAAGGATTAACACTCTCATGGTGCTCTGTCCTTGCAAAGAGCTGGTATCTATTGGACATTCAGTTTACTTACCAACTTAAAGCTTTGCTGCAAAATGTCACTTAAATATTGAATTGCTTTAGAACTTGCTTAAAATTAATAGCCAAAATTAGAAATACCTGAGATTTTACCAGGAATAAACCATTGATGTATGCAACAACATCGATGAATTTCTAGGTCTTACAAGCCAATAAGCAAACTTACCCATATCTGAAGTATGTACTAAACTGTCTGCAGAGGCGGTGGGCAAGTTCTCGTTTCCCGCAAGCTTCGGGACCAGCTAGGATCAACATGGGGTAAGGGGCATCCAGGCTGGGAAGAGTGCTAGTACAAAAGACCAGAATTCATCGTTATCCTTACTCTAATAAGACAGCATATTAATGGCATCTGTTAGGTAAAGTTTCTATGTTGCAATTGTTGCAATCATAATTAACCCAGATAAATGAGCACTTCTTCTACGCAGACACTGTTTAGACACTGCTTTCTAGAAATAAGTTGATTATAATATGCCAAAAATAATATTCAAAGCATAGATAACAAACAAGGTAAAATATACATTTATGTAAATTTACTTTAACAAGACTTTTTAAAGGAAAAATATGGTTATATAGATATGTGTGTATATATATGTATATATATATATACCAGTTCTTGATGATATATATATCAGTTCTTGATTGCTAGAGTAAAATGTTCTACCCAGAATTCATCAATGAAAGAAATAAGACTGCCCTTTGAGGGCCACTTTAACATCCATATCTACCAAATTACAATACAGAAGCACAAAGCAAACTTAACAGAAATAACTGAAATTCACCTGGGCAATTGCTACATGGCAGGTACTATTCTAGATGTTTTACATATATTATGCCATTTAATTATCACAAGAAGCTGAAGAAGCTATTCCTGTTATTATCTCCATTTAACACAGGAAGACCCTGAAAGACACTAAACAACACAGCCTATGAGTCCCACAGATAAGAGGCAGAGTTCACCTCCTGGGTCCTGACTTCTGGCACTGGCCCAGAGGAGGAAAGGCATGGCCGGGATTGTCACTAGCTACCCATCCTGGCCCTACCTGGTCTTTGCTCTTGTTTACCCAACAGCCAGAAGTGACCAAGATATACGTGTTTATCAAATGCTGCTGCCCACTTCTTTGCTATATATTTTTATATAGATGTACGCTATGCATTTATATAAATATCTATATAAGCATGAAACAACTAGCAATATTACAAACTAGAAAAGAAACAACAATGAGGACATAAATACTCTCTTTTAAATCAAATGTGCTTTTCCAGATGTAGGTAAATAAATGATCATTCATTTCACCTTAGAGGGCTACCATAAACACATAAAACTGTCAGTGTCTGCATTATTAAATTACACGTAAAAATCATGGCCTGCATTGCAAAATAAAACATTTTGCTCTCTGTTGGAAACCACCCATGTGAAGTACAGGAACAAATACCACATGAAGAAGAGAAGCCATTTATAGCCAAGAGATTTTACAAGTATTTTTAAGACGCCTTCGGGTATTGCTAGAATTTCTGCATTATACTTAGAGCATAAATGGCCATCTGCTCCAACAGATTGTTTGAAAAGAAATGGAGGAACTGTGGTAAGTCTGTCTTCAAATTTAGAGGTGAGAGACTCTATTCATGTGTGCCACCAAGCTGGGCGATCCCTCCCTGCTGAGGTGATGGCAGCTCAGTGCAAAGACCATTTCAGGTTTCCCTCCGGCTACCTTGGCTTCTTTCTAGGGACTCCCTAATAATCTGAATTCATGGAACCCTCTCTGGCAAGAGTCTTTAGCATTCACTCACAGCGAAGGAAAAATTTACAATGGATCTAAACCATCGCAGTTTTCTGTTAATGAAATTAAGATCTGCATTTCTATCTTGAGGGAGAAAAGCTGACAAACTTTTATTTTGTTAATTTCACTGTTATAGGGTATAGGCTAGTCACCATGGAAGGGGCCAGATGAAAGCATGAGGATCAATGAACTCCTCACCATGCTTAGGAAAACACCAGGAGAAGGGCACATTCAAGTACATGGTAATAAGCCATAACGGAGACAACACAGTCCCTCACATAAAGACTCAGCCCCTTCCCTCCACAAAGGTGAGAAAGCAGCATTTGTAGGAAATAAATGGTCCTGAAATAGAGGGCTAGGAGAAAAGGATGAGAGGCCTACCCACCCTGAGTCCTACCCTGTGGATCCCTGATAAATACCTGTCAAAAATCCTCTGTGGCTGCATCATGCTGTTGACAACGTGGGTCAGGTGATCTCGGGCTGCGGCCACTTCAGGGGGAGGGTTATATTTATTCACAGCTGAAACCTTTTCCAGAATTAGAAATGTAAAAGGGAAAAAAGTGTTCTTTCAAGAAAGAAGACAAGGGCTAGACTGTCCTTAATGAAATATTCCAGATGGGCAACCAGGTACACAAAATAACTTAGCACACGCTCATGAACCTGTGCGTTCGGTCTTCACATGCACTCTAATTTTCCTGAGACCTAAAAAAGTGATAATTATTTTAAAACATTGAATGGTAGTCCTTTGATCTCCTACTTCTTCTTCATACTCTCTTGTTTGGCAGGGCACAAGGAAAGACAAAATCAAAAAGAATAAAAGACCTCAAAAACCTGTGATTACTTCTAACACATGTATAGTTTCAACACTCCAATTTTTATTATGTGAAAAAAAATAAAATTTGTAATTCTAGATTCTGGGAGCTGATTATCTGGAGAATATTGTTTTCTCACCAAGAACTATTCCCATGAACTGAAATTCTACCAAACCTTCCTTCTCGTTTAGCATAATTTTCTCCATTTAAGGATAAGGGCCTTTTCCTCAAAAGGTACAGTTCTCCATTCCCTTGTCTTTGCTATCCCTCTAAATAAATGTCCCCAGTCTACCACAGCTTTACTACTACATGATTTTGAATTTGATTCCCTTTGCAAAACATCAAAGGAAAAGAGAAATCTAATAAGTGCCTTTGAGTGTGAGAATAATGACAGACTAGCATATGCAACTATTTTAACCGAGATTTCACAAAGGCATTTATGGACTGGAACGTGTGCCTCTCTACATATTTATACCTGTTTTCATTCCATCCCAAAATTGCAACCAGTGTAAGAAATCCCTCATTAGTAGATATTTCAGCTGTCACCAGCCACTAAAGCAAGACAAAGCAGCTACCACAGGGATGGCAGGGAGGGAGGCAGGTGCCAGAATTCAAGGTCTGGTTACTCTGGAATTGTGTGACCAGATGAATCCTTATTTCAAAGAGCAGAATTAAAGACTTATCAAAGTAGTGACTTATCTGCATATCTTTTGATTATATGGTAGAATGACATTATAAAATGTTTTATTGTTAAACAAATTTTTAAAGTAACACAGAATTATATACCCTCCAAATATGATTGTTGTCCAAACTGATCATCTGCTACCTATACACAGGTGATGCTACCACCTGTGTCAAGTCGAGTGCTGTTTCTGTCCCCACTGCCAGCCTTTTCCCACACCAACAGCAGGCCTCTGACTGCATTGGTGCTGATGCTCAAGAGGGTTATAGATCCTAAGACAAAGAATCATTCCCTAAATAATTAATGTACATATTTTATGTGTCACATGTATTGATTATATTGGGTTTGTGGCAGGCAGTGTGAGCTTCTGAGCACATTAACCCATAAACCATGAAATATGATTACGTACCTTTTCTTCCACTTTAATCTTCCTCTGATCTAATTCTGTTAATCGCGGTAGTGTAAAAATTACAAAGGGCCAATATTCAGATTTTTCCTATTTAAAATAGCAAGAGGACTATTCAGTTGTCTTCTTTTCCCAAATCAACAAGCACCAGCATTCTATTGTCATGAGCCTGGGTCTTCCACCTGCTCCCTCATCATTCCCACAGCCCTGCAAAGGACTCGGCACCTCACGCTCACCAGTCCCCTTCTGTTAACGCAAATGCAGACCACGCTTTGTAACTTACAAAGTTCTTCCAATGCTTTTGTTTATCTCCCTTTAAGACTAATACAACAGGTAGGATTATCCTCATTTCCTTTTTTTTTTTTTTTAATTTTTTTCTCTCTAGAGACAAGGTCTTGTTCTTTTACCCAGGTTGGAGTACAGTGGCACAATCACTTCAAACTCCTGGGCTCAAACCAGTCCTCCTGCATCAGCCTCCTGAGTGCCTGGAATGACAGGCATGTGCCACCATACTTGGCTGGGTTTTCTTTTTTTTAATTTTTCATAGAGTTGGGTTCTTGTTACACTGCCCAGGGTGGTTTTGAACTGCTGGCCTCAAGCAATCCTGCCCTGCCCGGGCCCCCAAAGTGCTAGGATTACACTGTGAACAACCTGATTATTCTTATTTCTAAAGGGAAAAGCTACAAAGCCTCAGAGAGGTGAAGTCATCGAGTATCTTGCGGCCAGTGACTCAAACCATCTTCCAACTTCAGTGAATTTCATTACTCTAAATAATAAACCTATACTCTGTTATTCTTTATTTGCATTATTTTGTATTAATGTTTATCTTTATGAGCCTACCTTATAATAATAAAATCCTATTCTTTATAAGACTAGTTCATTATTATTCCCTTCTAATCTGCTGTATTAGGACTATCCACTTTTTAGAAATATTATTTAGAAAGGAAGTATTTAAATTATCTGCCACTATTCCTGTGGCAGGACTCTTTTGATTTTTAAATCTTTATTATTTGTTCTTAACTTATTTTATTTTTACCTATCCAAACATGTACATCAAGGTATGCACAACAAAAAAGGTACTCAGACATACATACAAAGTCAGGGGCCTGTGGGAATGTATGT